GTTTTTATAAAAATTAGTTTTATCAAAGTTGGATTTTCCCACTAACTAGTGGTTTTTGAAGTGTTTCTTCAAGGCAATGACACCTATCTTTTATATGCTAGTGGAGTTTGAAGTGGAAGGCATGCAAGGCATGTCTTTGCATGCATTTGGTCTTTATATAGGTGATGAAGATCATTTGGATAAGGCTAAAGCTTACTTGCATAAGTGCAGAATTTTTCCACTCAAATTTCTATTGTCTTCTCCTAGCCATTAGTGTTTTCCCTTTGTTTTCACTCAAAATTCGGTCCCACAACCGTGTTCATCAACCTGAGGATAGCACGGATTTGTCGTTGGTGATGCCATTGAGTTAGGAGAAGAAGTTATAATGGAGGTCTTTAAAGGTATAAAGTTAATCTTTTTCTCTTTACCTTTTTCATCATTTTTCCAAGCATGCTTATTTTAGTTAAATTGCTTCATTAAGTGTATTATGATCCTTAGCTTCCACTGTGCATGTCTACGAGTTCCATCAGTTTGAAAAGCAAATGTACATCCCTATTTATAGTAATTGAAAAAACACAATGAAAAGACACAACCCTTGGATGAAAAGACACAACCCTTGAAAAATACATAATAAATTAAACATGTGGATGAATCTGGATTTTTAGATTCATGAAGTTTCTTAGATGACAAGATGTCTTTTCAAGCTTGAAGGGATGCAACTCTTCACCAAGTGTGAACATCTTAGCTTGAAAGTGACCATTCAATCCTTCTTGTAGTCTTTTAGCTCTAGCTCTTGCGATTGGACCTTGTAGCATAATGATTGGCTAATGATTGGGTTGACTTTGAGCATAAGCTTCATTTGAACTAAGTTGAGCTTGCTCCTCTTGTAGGCTTTTCCGTGCACTCCGTGATCACTCATTTCTATATGAGGAGCGAACTTGAATATGACGAACCTGAGCTCCTAGTGGACAACGATGATCCACCAACCCCTGAAGTGATGAACGAGGTATGGAAGAATAAGAAAGTTGAAGAAGAGGAACCGATAGAGGTAATTGAGCATAAGGTTGCAATAGATTTAAGCCCATCACCTCTAAAAATTGGACCCTTTTTTCCTTTCCCTCAACGTTCTTTGGAGATAAATAATGATATAAAGAAGGAAGAGTTGACCCAACATTTCAATGATAAAATAAAGGGAGAAATTGGAGAAGATGAGGTAGGTTCAGATGAAGGATTCTATTTTAAAGAAGAGAAAACCACAATTCAACTTTTCAAAAACAAATTCATACAAGTAAGTCACCTCCCCTTGAGTTGGACCTTCAAGTATGTTGTGCTTTAAAGAAGCAAAATTGCGACATGGCAGTAGCAGAAGAGAGGTCGAATAAGTTTGAGGAGAATAAAGTTGAAAGCCTCCAACGTTCTTTAAAGTAAAATCAGTATGAGGGAAGTTTGTACATTACAATCATGCTTCTTTACTTTTCAGCCTTTTTATATCCTGAAAATTTTAATAATTTTATTTTCTTAGTACAAGATTGAAGTTCCCAATAAAATGAGCAAGGTGAAACGAGGTTATTACAATTAAATAAGTTGGATGAGTTTCGTCAATTTTCTTATGAGAATGCTAAAATATATAAAGATCAAACTAAAAGATGACAGCTTAAGAAAAATAATGGATAGGAATTTGGAACCTGGAGATTCAGTATTGTTATTCAATTCTCGGTTAAGGTTATTTCTAGGTAAGCTAAAGTCGAAATGGTTGGGCCCGTTTCTAGTTGAACATGTTTATCTTCATGGAGCTGTGGGTTTAAGAGATTATAAAAGTAATATTTTCAAAGTAAATGAGAATCGAGTAAAGAAATACTTTGGTGAGCATATTGGCAGAGATAAAACCTCTGTACTACTGAAATATCCATGAGAAAACAGTGAGAATAGTCCATCTATCGGTGTTAAGGACGTTTTTATGTAAAATAATTTTTATCTTATTTTTGTGAAATTTTTATACCTTTTGTTATGCTTTTTTGTGTATAGTTCAAATCTAATTTTTGTTTTTGCATTTGAATTTTGCAGGATTAAGATTTTGGCCACTTCAAAATTACACCAGGTGCAATTTAAGAAATTTTTTTTAGAGATTTCTGAAAATTTCAATTAAGAATGTTCGTGGGCTTATTTTAGGTTTGTTTTAAATGGGCTTTGGGCTATTTGAAAACATAAAGACCCTATTGTTAAAACCCTAAGGTATTTTAAATGAAAAACAAAAAGGAAGCCCTAATCCTCTCCCCTCATTTGCGATTTTCATCCCAAAAAGTCCCTAACTTGTTTTCAAGTTTCTCTCATAAAATCTTCAAGAATACCAAAAATCTCTCACACTCCTCTCATTTTCGGCTAAGTTAGGTTAGGGTTGAGGAAGTTTTTCGTTCTTTTTCAAGCAAAGTGCCAAGATTCCATAGAAGGCTCCTCCTCCTCCAAGTCATGCGACAAAGAGAAAGGAAAGAAGAAGGTGATGCTTCCACCACCTACTCCTCCAGGTATGATCCCTCTTAAACCCCCTCATATCTCTAATGAAAGGTTAATTTTTTATCCTAGAACACAAAGAAAGAAACTAGAGGAAGCTTTGAGAATGAAATCTAGAAAGAACCTATTAATAAGCAGTGAAAGTTCTGAAAAAATTTACTTTAAAACCTCAAGTTGCTAGGGTTAATGAAGGAGGCCGTAATGAAAAGAAATTGGAAGAGTTTAGCAAGGTCTACCTAAAAAAAATCAATCTGTGGGTGATAAAGGTTCTATTTAGAAGCTAAAATTGCTAGGATTAATGAGAGAATTAATATTGAAAATAAGAAAAGAGAGATTAGGGATAAGGAGCATGAGTGTATTTATGCCAAGATAGTAGAATTAAATGACAAATGGAAAATATTTATGGAAAATTCGAGGAAGTTGAGTGAAGAAATACAAATTGAATTAGATGGTATGAATAATCGTCATAGGTTGGATTTTCCTCAAAACAACACCGTGTCCGAATCCATGTTGCTATGGATGTAGAAGGCTAAAAATAGGTTATTGGTGATTCTGAGCACGACATAGAGCCATTGGAGCATTTGGATCCGGCCACGGTCAAAATTCATAACAAAATTTCACTTGGCGTAATTTTGGAGAGCACTCCATCAGCCACTCTACCAGGTATTTCGTCTCTCAATTTTCTAGATTTTATTTTGACTAAAAAGCCTTTAGTTTTTTATGATTTACAGGAAAAGACAAAGTCATAAATCGCCGAAATTTTGGTGGCCTTGAATGAAGCAACGGGAGAAAATCCGTTGTAGGATGATGGAAGCTCAGGGTTGGTTGGATGCTAGTAGAGATGATAAGGATATTGGAGATTTACCCCAAGAAGTCTATAGAGAAGAGTGTGAGGAAGAAGAGGGAAACGACGATATCTCCCAGTTTGAAGTGCGTATGTGCACTCTGGTGCATGAGTCGCAGCAAGATGAGGAGGAAGCCCCTGTTCAAATGGAAGAAGGAGCATCTGGCCCTGAGGATGTCCCAAATGAAGCCATAGAGGAATCATCTTCCTCTTCTTCAAAAGGTATGACCCCTTCTTTTTCAAGCATGAATGTTTCAGACCAAATTTCATTGCTGCTGCAGATAACTTAGACGAAGAGGTATATTTGACCAAAATGGTGAAGAAAGAAAATAAAACAAAAAATTCAGCCTAAATTGTGCCGGYGCAATTTCAAGACCACGCACCTTGGTCGCTGTAGCACGATTGGCCACCCAAAAAGCAGCTGAGGCTAGTCCATCTAAAAAAGCCATGAGGCCTAGACCATTTGGAGAGGCAAAAGAGCAACTTGAAAAGGCTAATGAAGAGGAACCCGCTACTACCAAACAACAACCAACGAGGGCCAAAAGAGTAAGGATAGAAGTAAAGAAACCTGACTTTACAGCCCGAGGACTCTTGGTTGAAAAAAGATTTGATGAGGAGCAGGAGTTCGTGATAGATAATGTCAAATGACAGCTTGTGGAGCATGGTTGGGAGACGGTGTTTGCCCCACCTATGCATGTGTCGGAGGCCTTGGTAAGAGAATTCTATGATGCCATCCACCCAAACCGAGGAGGTGCTGTGAGGTAAGGGGTAAAGTGGTAAGATTTCTCCTTTGATTATTAACACTCACTATGGATTGTTGGATGCGTTTAATGCAGTAGGTAATGAGATTGTGGTGCATCCGATGGACGAACAAGTGGAGGAGGCGTGTAAGCTCATATGTAGACCACGCAAGACATGAACCGTCTCATCCAAAGGGAAGCTTTAATTAATACCGCTTGATATCAATGAACAAGGCACCGTGTTGAGTTATGTGGTGAAGAACCGATTGATCCCTACTTCACATGATTCCTCCATCAAGTGTAGTAGGTTGATGATGGTGTTTATTCTAATGAAGGTCATTGAGTTCAACTTTGGTGAACTCATAAAGAATGAGATTTGGGTTTGTGCTGAGAAAATGGTAGGTCCACTTGTTTTTTCTGCCTTATAACAAAGTTATATTTGAAAGCAGATGTAGAGGTCGATGATGAGGATGTAGTGACGCCTAAGAAGCCGGCCACGTCTATAAGGAGAGTTCGGGGATACTCGATCGTTTGTGAGGAAGATTCTCCCACTACTGTCGTGGATCCCGTGACTCGAGGTGTGGTTACTAGAGAACAATACAACGAGTTAAGGCACAAATATGATCTTCTCTTGGCTATTCAACATGGCACATGTAAGTTTCTCAAGGAGCTTTATGGAGATGGTGCACTCTCCCCGATGAGCTAAAGGCCGATTTGCCTTCTTCTTCACGACCTATCATTGCTTCCACCGTTGATGATTCTTCAAATGATGATTAGGGGAGTATCTCTCTCTCTTTTCTTTGATACTAGATGTTTTGGATCTTGATCTTATATGTTAGTTTATTTAGGTTGTTTTTGTGCTTCTAGTTTGCTTGTTAGGTTGTTTAGGTTAGTTTTAGTCTTAGGATAGTTTTTTTAGGATGTTGTGTTGTTAGTAAGAAATATCGGTTGTGTTTCTGCATATCGCTTTAAGTTCAAACTTTGCATGCTTCTTTGTTCTAGCTACAAGTTTGTGCTTAGCTTCTTCAACGACATCTTTTCTAAACTTCTAACATGCTCATCTTTTTAAGGAAAAGATTTCCTTTGTACTTTACAGTTTGTGTCTTTTTGTTTGAGAAAGAACATGCTTTTTACGTTTCGAAAAAAAGAGTCATAAAGAAAATGCAAGGAATAAAAAAGAGTCATATGCACAAAAAAAAATTCCAAAAGAAGAAAATCAAGTAAAAAAAGAGTCTTGAGAGAAAATAAGAGTGGAGGAAAGAAAAGAAAAATAAAAGTGTGAGAAACACAAGAGTGGTAAAATAACATGAACGACAAGAAAATGCACTCATTTTTTCTCGAGTCCCACTATAGACGCTCATTTATCTTTAAATGGGTGGCGTTTGAATCTTGGAGGGTAGCAGCCTACAAAATTAAGGTGACTTCGTGAAATCCATTGTCGACATCATTTTATGTTGAGTTGCTACCTAAAGAGTTTCTATGAGTGGCTTAGTTGGAAATCGATGTTAGTGAGTGGAAAATCTTAGGGGCTAGAAGCCGGTCCATGTGTCTTCTTGATGTAAAACTTTTCAATCAAAACAAAAGTGTGCATATTCCTTAGTTTTGTAAAATGTTTTGTGTTTTAGAAAAGAAGGAGATTAGAATCATTTTTTATTTTCAAAACAAGAATGGTCTATGGAATGTTAGCTTGAGATTAAAGTTAAGAAGTTTAGCTTGTGGAGTCCTTCCTGAGACGAATATGATTCATTTACTTAGAATCTTTGGATTGCTGCTCATTAATCTTTTTAGCATGTTGGCTGTTTTGGGTTTATTGTTGTTATGTTTGCTTGAGGACAAGCAAATGGCTAGGTTTGGGGATGTGTTAGGGTTGACTTTTTACTGCAAAAATATGACTCGGTAGGCCTGTTTGACCATAAACATGAATACTTTCCTATCAATATTAGCTAAGCAGGCTTACATGTTCTTAAAGTAAAACATGCATAGAACATTTCTGGATAATTTGCAATATATGGTAYTTTGAGAAAAATATGAGAAAAACATAGTCAAAGTTGGAAGAAAATTATAGTTTTCTGTTTTGCAGGAATTATGCCTGGTGCAATTTTGGTGGTCAACCTTCCCAAAACGTGAGTTTCACTTAATGAAGGGCAAGTGAGTCATTTCATATATGTTTAAATGAAGCAAAATCATGAGTCCAAGTCGGAGAGCTTGTTTGAAGAATCTTAACACATTTCCTCCTAAATTGGTGGGAAGTTCAACCTTTTTGAAGGCCTATAAAGAAAGCCTCTCCCTCAGCACTTCATCATCCCTTTCCATCCCGTTTTCTTCAGCATTTGTAGCTTTAGTTTTTGTTCATTAGCTTTAGAGTTCGTTGGATTTATTCTCTAGTTGTTATTTCTTTGTATTTCCAACTTCTACTTGTCGTTTCAATTTTAATTAAAGTTCTTTCTTTCGTTCTTCATCTATTCCATTATTTTAAAGTTCTTAAGCGAGTTTACACTCTCCTCACGCTCGAAAGAGAAGAGGGTTAAGCTAGAACCTCGTGTACGCCGTTATTATTCATTTAAATTCAATGGAAATGATTTTTTTTATGTTTTAGTGCATTTACTTTCCTTTAATTATGCACTAATTTAATTATCAACCTCTTTGTGGAATGCCTTAGCCAAAATGATTTGATTTCAAACATGCTCGGGGTTTGCTTTAGCTGGTTTCAAACATGCTCGGGATTTGCCGAGCGTAATCTTGAGCTGGTTTCTAAAAAATTCTTTTGACCTCTTTTTTCCATGTGGCAACTGGGAATTGATTTATGCACCAAAGCCCAACTTTGAAAAGATTAGGTTAGGTAAAATAATAGTAAACCAATATGAGATGTGACTTAGACATAAGGGCATAAAATATGGTCCTAGAAATAGATCCCCTGACACATAAATGAAAATGAGTTGATAAATATTTTCTAAGATTGTAATCACACATAGAAATATGATTGTAGGTTACCCTAGGCTCTGCAGCAACCAAAAATGGTTCGTGAATGAGTAGAACTCATATTCCCAAGTAGAGCCAGATTGTGGTTGGCGCAATTTTCCTAAAGTATGTGTCTTCTATGTTTTCCTTCAAAACTAAGATAGGAAGTAGAGAGGTTGTATTTTATAAAATTGCTTGACATTTACAACCCCAAACAACAACATTTGTCACAATTCTTTTTTCATAAATCACAATTGCATTCTTGAACCATTTCACTTCATTACTTGATTTTGAAAAAACAAGTCCTTGAGGATTCGACCTTGGATTACTTTCGTGTATTACTTGTGACCGTGTACGCTTGCACGTACCTCTTATTATTTAAAGGTAGAGAAAGTCCCAACAAGTTTTTGGCGCTGTTGCTGAAGACTTATTTTCAAAATTATTTTCTTTTTTAGTGAAGTGTTTCGTATTGTGATTGTGCAAACCTTTGTTATTTGTGATCACTTGTATATCTAACTTTAAAGGGCAATTTTTTTTTAGCACTAAGACTTTATTGCAGGAGTCCCTAAGGAGGTTAAGGTAAGAACAAAGGTCAAGAAAACAAAAGGGGAAAAAGAAGACAAAGAAATGAAAAAGTAGGAGAGGTTACTCGTATTCGGCCTCTTAAAAGCGAAGCTACATGAAGATCACGAAGAGAATCATCAGAGGGGTACAGAATGTAGTTTCCTTCTCTTGGGAGTCATGGATCTACACCAATTGTAACATTATGACCTGGGCCAATCCGCCATCTACACCCTTTATCAAATAATTGTTTCTCCCACATGATACTTCTTCATGCAAAAGAAGGATTTGACCCTAGCTTGGCTTTCATAAAATTCCCAGAGTGGAAGTATCTTCCCCTATGGATTTTTGCTAAAATGCTATTAGGATTTCGAAGGATCCTCCAACTTTGTTTTACAAGCATCATCTGGTTGAAGATACTTAACTCTTTAAAACCCATCCCTACTTGCTCCTTACTAATACAAAGTTTCTTCCAGCTTCTCCAACGAATTCTCCTTCCGCCTTGATTTGAACCGCACCAAAATTTTGCATAAAGGGAGTTAATCTCATTACATAGACTAACAGACAGCCTGAAACAACTCCTGGTGTAATTTGAGATAACCTATGCTACTACTTTGATAAGTACCTCATTTCTCCCATCGAAAAAAGTTTTTCCTTCCAACCCTAGAGGACTTTCCACACCCTATCCTTGATAGAGCTAAAAATACGACATTTATCTCTTGAAACTTGAGAAGGAAGCCCCAGGTAAAGGGCCAATGAATTAGTGAGTGGAACTTTGAGTTCTTGTTTTATGTAAGACTTCATTTCCTTTTTCCTATTCTTACTGGCCAAGAACATTGATTTTTCAAAATTTATAATATGGCCTGATGCTTTTTCACAAGTCTGAAACTCATCATTGTTTGGTAGTCCTTCCGAGTGGCCTTGAAAAAATTATGAGGGTCATCTGCATAAAACAAATATGTTATCATATGACAGTGATAATTAATACGTAATCCAATAAAATGGCGTTATTGCTATTATCTATTGAGAAACGTACACGACCCCTCTGCACACAACAAAAAATGGTAAGGGGATAGAGGATCTCCCTGTCTAAGACCTCGCTTAGGTCTGAAATATTGTCTTGGAAACCCATTGAGGAGAACATAAAAGTTGACCGACTCCACAGAACCCATAATTAAATGAATCCATATGCTACCAAAGCCCATTCTTTCCATAACTTTCTTCAGATACACCAATTCCACCCTTTTGTAAGCTTTGCTCATGTCAGTTTTCATCGCAACTACCTCTTTCTTACCTGACCACTTGTTGTTTAGCGCATGAAGGCACTCAAACCCAATGATGACATTGTCAGAAATGAGTCTTCCTGACACAAAGGCTTATTCAGTTGGGGAGATAATAGAATCTAAAACTATCTTAAGCCTGTTTGCAATTGTTTTGGCAATAATCTTATACACAACATTGAACCATTTTATTATTGGTTTTCTATCTTGTAAAAAAATATCATAGAAAAATTAAGAGGGAAGGAAGAAGCACAATTTTTTGAAATAAAAAACTAAAAATGAAATCAAATTTAAGTAATTTCCAATTTCTGTGTCTCTAAGCTGTGGGCTGTGATAAGACAAGAAGCAGTGGCGGTAACAATGGCGTCTTTCCCAACCGCCGCTGCAATTGCCAATGTCACAAAGAACGCCGGCTGTGGCACTGCCCGCTTCCTCTTCTTCTCCTCTTCTTCCATTGTCTCTAAATTCGACCATTGTCGCCCTCAACGCCGAGCTTTCCCTCTTTTTAGCCCACTACTTCACAACCACAACGCCGCCGGAAGAATCTCGAGAGATTGCGCGCGGTTTCCGCTCTCATTTTGCACTGTCTCATCCGCTGAGCCTGCCACCAGTGACGCCATTGCATCCTCTTCAGCTTCCTTGGGTACTGACGACGATGATCCGGATAAGAAGATTAAGGATGCAGCCAATATGCTCGATTTTAGGGTTGGGAAAATCATTAAGGCTTGGAGACATCAGGAGGCCGATTCTCTTTACGTCGAAGAGGTTGATGTTGGTGAGCCCGAGCCCAGACTTATCTGCAGTGGCCTTGTTAAATATATCCCTCTTGAACAACTTCTGGTAATTAATTCTGCCCTTTTATCAGTCTTTTGATGGTAATTCAAAGAATCAATGATGAATAATAGATTTAGTTTCTGATTGAGATACGGGAGGAACTCCATAGCTAGCATCCCTCATGGGTTTACTTTACTTTACTACTATAATTCCCATGATTTTATTTTTGTACAAAAAGGAAAAAGAACATATTCAATGGGACATGGTTTAAACAACTTGATACTCAGTGTAGAGACACCCATGTAGAGTATGTTCAATTTGTTTCTTGACTTGCAGATGGATTTCTTTAGCTTATAGATTTTGTAATTATTATTACGAAATCTTTTATCTTTTATCTTTTATCTTGTCTCTCTTAACCTTATTATATCTCTTTTTCTTTTGCTTTCCATTTGAAATTGAAATCATACTACTCTTGACTTCTTTTAGAAGTACCCCCTAGCAACTTTTTATATAGAGAGCCCAAATAATTCACAAAATCTTAAGGAGCTATGATACCGTGTTAAATAATGCGAGACAAACATGAGAGGATGCTTCATATAATTCCATACTTAGGAGTTAGGCACACATGCAAACCCTGAACTAATATAGTGTAGATTGCAATAAATGATAAGAACTTTATATAGATATATGTTGAAATGGGTAAAACCTTTCTTCGACCCTAATATGGATCATTGTCAATTTGAATGTTGGAGCCTTCGATGGTGTTCTTGCATTTTCATTGTTGAGCTATTTACAGAGATAACGTTGTTTGTGTATTCCCTCGTGTGGTTCTTTACAATCTGATAGGAAACTGTGAGTCGTTTAATGTATTCCTTATTGTCTCTCTTGTAGGGGTTTCTTAGCCACTAAGATTCTTATGATAGTCACAATTTGTCTCTTGGACTTTGGTTGCAAGTGTTTTTTTTTCCTCTGGATTGGTTGCCCCCTCTTAATATTCTTAGAAGGTTTGGTTCTTCTCTTATTTGGTGGCCCAGGAGAGGATTAACATTATTGATTTGTCTAGAGATCTTCACCTATGATTTTGGATCTTCGGTGGTATGTTCTTGTAAGTGGGCAACTGAAGATTTGAAGCACATGTTATGGTGTTGCCATTTCATGACCAAAATTTGGTAAGGATTTTTTTTGGGGAAGTTTTTGGTGTGAATCTGGCTTTGAGCAAAAAGTCTAAATCTACGATGGAAGAGGCCCCTCTTCATTCCACTTCTCTTGGAAGGGGAAGATTTATGCGGCAAGTTGGGATTCATTTTTTTTTTTTATAAATTGGAATACATGGTGGAAAGAAATAGGAAAGTTTTAAGGGTGTGGAGATTTCTAGGGAGGAGATATGGAGTATAGCTAATTTTGATGCATTCTTTTGGGCTTCAATTATATAATCTTTTGGTAGTTATTCTTTTTTTTCTGAACAAGATACAAAATTTTCATTGGACAAAATTGTTCAAGGATACAAACTCCAAATGGAGTGAAAAAAAAAATAAAACTGAAAGCTGTAAGTAAATAAAGACAACAAAGAGAAAAAGGAGAGTCACAACTGGGGAGTTATAAATGCATCGGAACGAACRCACCATTGTGAAGCCTTGAACTTAGCTATTGAAAAACAATCCACTGAGGAACGACTTTTGCCCTCGAAGACTCTTTGATTCCTTTCGAACCATAGTTCAGAGATGAGAGCTTTAAAACCATGAACCCATAAGAGATTAGCTTTTCAAGGACCACTAAAGAAGCTGAAGGATTACGTGGGAACGTTCAAGTTCCAAACCCAAGAGATATTGAACATCAAAAACAGTCTCCTCCAACAACATAAGTACAAGCTAAAAATACATGTCTTTGGGATTCTTCTTCCTTTATAACAAAACAAACATATTGACGGGTGCAATGACATAAGGCATTTTATTTTGAAGAACCTCTCTAGTGTTAACCTTGCCCATAAGAAGGGACCAAACCAGAAAGTTAACCCTCTTAGGACAGTGAGGGTTCCAAAGAATAGAGAATGCTTCCTTGGGAATTTTTGACACAAAATCCCCTAGCTTACTTACAGAACAAACCGAAAAATTACCCGAAGCCTCTAACGATCTAGAATCCTTTGACTCAGTTAGGGAAACTGAGGAAAGTAAGGAAAGGAGAGAATCCAATTCAACAATTTCCTCATCCTTCAAGGACCTTCTAGTAGAAGGGACAAAAGATATTCGAAAAAGAGAAGGGAATCTGTCCCAAAGCAACTCTTCTCCCAGCCATAAGTGATGTCAAAACAAACTTCTGTTTCCATTTCCCACAATGATACGAGAAAACGACTCCACCTTATGCCAAGCTTTCAAAATATTTTGCCATGGGCTTCTACAAGAACCGACCATCTTAGGCAATGTCCTCCAACCACCATGATCAGAACCATAAATACTGGCCACTACCATTCTCCAAAGAGCTGAAGATTCAATGCTAAATCTCCAGCCCCATTTAGCTAGCAACGCACTATTTCTTTTAGAAAAATTCCCAATTCCGAGTCCACCATCTCCACGAGCTAAAGTGAGTAAATGAGTCCAGCCAACATCTCTTGAACTCCATATGGATTTTATGATAATGTCATCAACTTGCTATAATTTCGTTTCTTGTAGAAGAACAATTTCAGGGCAATGCTTCTGGATAAATTTTTTGATCTTCAAACGCTTTTTGTTGTCACAAATCCCACGGACATTCCACGATAGAATTTTCATTGAAGAGTGAGAGTTGGTGCTAAAGTAAGGCCAACAGATTTGAAGAAAGGAGGGATAGAAGAAGATGAGGTTACACTGGGCTGTAATATCTTCTTTCTGTTAGTAGGAACTTCTTCTGACTGCGATGGATTGTCTTGCAAAGGCTTGGCAATGGGTGTTGAAGAGTCGCAGTCCACGCCGAAAAGAATGTGGAGATCTTTGTCAAACGAAAATTCCCCTGAATTACTCAACAGGTCCTTCTGACTTACTTCAAAAGGCGTGACGTCAGGGCTGCTAATACTGACATTAAATTCCTCATCATCTTCTGAAAATAACTCATTATTCAGAATTGAGTTAATTTGGGAATTAAACTCTCCAGGTATTGAGGGATTTACTAAATCGGGCCCACCAGATTTAAATGAAGATTCCTTCCCTCCAACCTCTTTTTCAAATGCATTTAAAAGATTTGATAGGGAGATATCTTTCAGATTCTTAGAAACCGTGCCTTTAGAGGGGAGAGAGAGAGATTTTCGCCTAATATAATGGAGTGGAAAAGGCGGAATAAATTCCCTTCCTTTATTCTTATCTGGCCCGTGAATATCTAATATTTAAGTTAATTTGTGATTTAAATTTTATTTTATTTTAGTATTCTATTTATTTAACCTCTAATTTTATTATTTTCTTTTTAAATTTAAATTTTTTATTTTTCTTAAGTTAAAATTTATATGCACATTAAATAGTTTTACAAATATCTTCATCTAGAGTATTTTTTATACATAAAATTGCTATTTATTATTTTATTAAATGCGCCTCACTTCACTCGGGCAACGCCTTTTTGTCGCCTTGAGGTGCGCCTTGCGCCTTGAAAACACTGCCATAAACTATTTTCCAAGATGTCATTCCTCTCACCCTACTACTTCTATTTATAACAAATTTACTCTTAACCAATTACCATAATGCCCCTAACTTTTTTTTTTAACAAGAAACAAACTTTTCATTGATAATATAAAAAGGAAGTAAATGTTCAAGGATACAAACTCCCAAAGGGAGCGAAAAAAAAGGAAAAAAACACCCAACAAAGAACCACTGTAAAAAAGATACAAGAGTATAGAACAAATGGCCAAAACAACACACTACAAATTGCAAAAGCAACAGCACTCAACCTAAAGCCAAAGTTGAAGTGAGCAGAGACTTGAGAAAAGAACTTCTTCAAGGCTTGCAAGATAAAAACGAACGCCTGCTAAAGAGAAGCCAAAACAACCACCAAACAAAGCATCAAACATCTAAGGGGTTGAATAGAAAAGATAGATCTTCAATAATGTCTAAAAAGTCGACAGAATCTTCCGAAAAAGAGGAGGAACGAATAGAAGAAAAATCTCCAAAGTCGCTTCCTGCTTTTAAATTAGACTCTATGCTACTAAGACTTACTTCCTGATCCTCGAAATAATCTGAAAAATAATTTTCCCAGCCTCTTTGACTACGCCTTCGTTAGTTGAATGGATAACCCTTTGAGATAGATGAAACTTCATTGAAAATTCATGAAATTCTTGTTTTAAATTTTCTTCTTTTAGAACTTCAGAATCAACGGGGGAAGCTTCTGACAAGCAAACAACTTTCAGATTTAACTACAATACTAATACTATTCCCAAACTATCCCTGTTAGGACTCTCAAAGTTAATGATTCTTTTTAATTGATAATTTTTTTTTTTTGGAAGTACTACCCAATGAATTATAGATTGAATGGGTCTTCCACGGATAATATTGTAAAGTTTGTATTAAGTTTATATTGTATATATGATTAAAATTTTTTACTGGACTTTGATATCCTTGCCTGCATTTGATGCAAATGTAACCAACATAAAGGATAGAAGAGTTATTGTCCTCGCAAATTTGAAGCCAAGAAATATGCGGGGCATCAAGTCATGTGGAATGCTAATGGCTGCCTCTGATGCGTCGCATGAGAATGTTGAGCTTCTTTTGCCCCCTGAGGGTTCAATTCCTGGTGAAAGAATATGGTTTGGATCTGAAGATGAAAAAGAAGGCCAGCCTGTTGCTGCTACGCCCAATCAGGTAAAGACAACTCCTTTGAACTCTATTTATAGTGCATGCTCCAGCATAAGCTTGCTTCACAAAACACGACGATTAATTACCTAAATTATTTTGAACTCTGGATATTAAACCACTACATGATGATTTCCATCTCTACATGCGATTGATTATTAATGTGTAACGTGTTTAATGTAGTTTAGCTGTGCTTTACATCTTTGTTGCATTAATGTCTGATGTGTTACAGCCTTCCACGATACTAGTGTTATTCTACAGAATTCCTTCCACGATACTAGTGTTATTCTACAGAATTCTCCCTACTCCATTGGACATTTTGTTTTAAACTTAGGAACAAAACTTCCATGAGAATAGATGAAAGGGTAGAAATTAACGCAAGACACCAAGAAGCTTGACAGTAGCCCTGGCAAAATACCAACAAACCTATCATGGCATCTTCATTGGACTACAATGAAATAAGTAACAAAATTGTACAAGTGCCAAATAAGAAAACCAAGTGTTATGGGGTGAATTTGGAACGGCACGCAGAGCATCCTTGTGCAAACGTGTGGGCTTGGGTGTGGATTTTGGATCCCTCACAACCGAAAAGAGGAGGCGTCAAGTGCATTGGATCAAGGTTGAGTGCACTGTGGAGGAGTGCCAGACTTGAATTTGACGACAGTCAACAGGCCAAGTGTTGGCACCCCATGGTGTCTTCTGACCATGTGTCAAGGGACCGTCCTTGATGCTGTCGCGCCCCTCTACAAGATCAGGAGTAGCTAGAGAATGTTGATGAGTAAACCACTCTCCATGCCTCCCATTCTGGTTCTCCCTTTCTCATTCTCTCCCTATAAAAAAGAGACCTAAAACCTTGATCTTGGGTACGCAAATTCTATTATGAAAAACCCTAGATCACCTTACTGAATTACTCTCACCAAATTATTACTTAGGCATCGGAGAGTATTTTGTTGAGCTCGACACCAATGCTAGTTTCTGTGTTGCAGGATACCTGTAGGCTTTGAGGTGTACGTGGTATCTGCCCAGAAACGTGCATCAACACCAAGTAAAATAATGATTAACTATAACGGCAAGGTAAGTGGAAGATAAAAGCGAGTCATCATGTTGAATAGGACTGCAAATCTCCCACTCCAGTAAATATCCGTCTTAAAACATTCTTCTGCTACTGGGAACTTGCATCCATCCTTTAGGCCTTATCTCCTGCTACTCATGTCTTGAAACAATATTTGTCTTTAATGCTAGCAGCTACCGCTTTCATTGTTCTAGGAAATGTAAGAATGAACAAAAGAGGATTTCATCTGACTTTTTTTATTCTCTTCCTTCTTCATCAGACCCTTTCTTCTTCTTCTTGACCACTGACTAGCACTTCTTTAGTTCTTATAGGAATGTGAAAAAGAAAAGAGATGGTGACATTTGATATATGGCACATGTTAATGATTTTAATGACCCTTGTGCAACTGTACACAAATCGCGTACTAAGTAATAAAAAGATAGAATCCAAAGATAGGATCCACAGGGATTGAGTAACTAAACACAACAACTTTCACTCAAAAAATGGAAAAACACACCATAGATATTTCTAATTATCACTACTTTGCAAATAAAATAAAAGTGCATTTAAATATGGATAAAACAAAATTAAAAGCAATCAATCCTTCAGTGCAAGGCACAAGAAAGGACTAAAACTCAAATATAAGAAAGGAGGTTGTGTCCCTATTACTATGATGTTACATCTTTCCAGATTGCCCATGTTTTGATGCTAATCCAAACCCCATTTCAACCAACGATATATCAGAATAGCTTTTATCCATATTAGGTGAGTCTTATCCCCAAGTACCCACACTCTATGCTCAAAGATAGATCTAACATAAGTTAAAGCTACCCTCTCCCTATTACAATCTCTTGAAATCTAATGAAGAGTTCATTTAACACGGTGATGAAGCATGTTGAACTTAAAAAGTGCTAAACAAGCTTTAACGAAGTAGAACAACTTTATAAACCAGAAAAAAATCAGTGTTTACAACAACGGTCGACAGCAGCCCTGATATATTTAGCTACTTAACGCCATCACAAACAAGAGGAGAGAAGAAAATTCAAAACCCATGGACAAAACAATACAAAAGAAGAAGGGAAGGAAGAAAATCAATAAAATATTCACTGCAACAGACCTTCTTCGGGTTTCTCTAAGGTAAGTGTTAGGATAATGGAGCCAAAACAGATGACCCGTTTCCTACGAGGAAAAAGATTTTCAAACACTACTACCAATTCCTACAAGGAGTAGGATATTATTGTCTTATAAGGATTATAATATTATTTTCCTATAATGATTGGGATATTTGACCTCTTATAAATAAAACCCTTTTGTTAAGGTTTCATTTGTACAGAATCCAAATAAGAGAGACTTGAGTGGTTGTGGGCAGTGTGTGAAAAAGAATTTTGTATCCCGTGGGTTTTAGTGAGAGTATTTTTAATTGTGTAATCCTAGGTAGTCATTGAAAGGGTGCGTAAAGCAAGATAGTAATATCTTGAATGAGATCTCCATTGTAATATTTCCAACTATAGTTGAACCTGCTTCTTCGCAGAAGATTGGACATAGTCTCAAGATAGGGGCGAACCAGTATAATCCCTGTGGTGTTAAGCTTTTCTATCCCTATCTCTTATTCCTTTGTTATTGTTACTTATCTGCTTTTAGCCTGTGGGAGGGGAAAATCAAATAGTTCCTGTTTCAAGAACTTACAGGAAGATTGATTGATTTATATTTTTTTTCCCAACAATTGGTATCAGAGCGTTTGGTTCAGAGATCATGGGATCAGTAGAGAGAAGTTAGGTTTTGAAGGAATCATGAAGCTTGATGGGGCCAATTTCGAATATTAGAAGATGCAGATTAAGGATTACTTGACCTGGAAGAAGTTGAATAAAGCTTTAAATGAACGACCAGCAGGGATGAAAGATGAAGATTAGGTGGAGACGAATGAACAAGCAGTTGCCTTTATCAGATTGTGTTTGTCGATGAATGTGGCAAGTCTCGTAGCAAATGAAACGACAGCAATAGATCTGATGAAAGCACCGGAGAATAGGTACGAGAAACCCTCAGCTAATAATAAGGTATATCTCGTATGGACATTCAAATGGAAGAGAATACTTCTGTCAATTCCCACATAAATGAGGTCACAAAATTAATCAATCAATTGACATCAGTTAAGATTGTTATTAGTGACGAAGTGAATGCTATTCAGTTGCTAACATCTTTATCTGAAAGTTGGGAAACGATGAAGACAGCAGTATCCAATTCGTTAGGAGACAAATCTTTGTAATTTTCAGAAATTTGTGATGCGGCAATTGCTGAAGAAATTTGTAGAAAGGGGAGTGGAAAAGAATCTACTTTTGTACCAGTCTTAGCATTGGCTGTCAAAAAAGGTAAAGAGAAGGTTGTGTTCGATGACAGACAGCAGAAGCATAGTAGGAGGGAT